AGAACCGGATGAATTTTCTATCCTAACTCACTCTTGGTTTTTCTGCTGATTTTCTTTCCTTAGCCGGTCAACAAACAAGCTGAAATAAATAAATGCACACATAGCGGGTAAGATGCATCAGGATGGTCTTTTATTTCGGGTAAACCTGTCCTAGACGGACCCAACCCATGTGTTGAGTTCCCAAAGTTAAGTGCACATGATACAAACAAACGTACCTACTAGGGATCCGGCATGAGGCTATGTTATTCTAGGTTTAAACTTGGGGGTGTGTTCTAGACATGGCTTACCCAAGCGGACAACTTGAGCCGATGTGGGGGCAATGTACCGGGAGCACGAAAGTCTACCCGGCCTAGTGGTTGATCCATCCTCGTTCTATTTGGTACGACCTCTAACAGAAAAGTGGGCCACGCGTATGTGTGCACCATATTTTTAGAAGACTCAGAAGGGAGGCGTAAGACGACAGTTTAATACAGTTCAAATAATATCAAAGCGGTAAATGAGCGGCAATTAGCACATTAGGCCCACAAATACAGTAATATCAATAATGAATAAAGCTAAGCACAAATTACATTACAAGCTCGAATTCTTGAACCCTGAACCAGAGATTCTGGGTTCGATCCCCAGCAGAGTCGCCAGAGCTGTCACACCTCCTTTTTCCCGAAAGGGGATAATAGAGAGTTTTTCTAATTTAAGTGACATAATCGAATTGGGATTATTTATTTTATTTTTTAGAGTCGCCACCTGAAATTATTTATTTAAGGTGTTCCGAGTCACCATTTATTTAAAATTTTAAATCGAGAAAAATTGACTCCGTAAAAGTCTGAGAAACCAGAAGACCGGATAAGGAATTCTATTAACCCGGGAGAAGGTGCTAGGCATTCCCGGATTTCGTGGTTTTAGCACGGTCGCTTTAATCATACCTGGCTCAACTAATTTGTTTAATTACGTATTTTTAGAACCTATGTGTTTTTACCTTTTACCGCTTTTAATTATGGCGTATATGGATTTATCTTTGAAACAGATTACATGTGTGTAAATCCGCTTTATTTGGGGCATTAAAATCATATCATGCGTACGTGTACACAATTAACTACGCTTATTTAATTATGAAGATTGTTTTTGGCCGAAATTGGCCGAATGCATACTTCGTTTTAGTTTTAAAAAATTATAATTATGTCATGCGAACGTGTACACAATCGCAATAAGAATTTAAATCGCGCCTAAAAGCATTTCTACGAGTATTCAAATATTAAAATCGTACTCATGTCACGCGAACGTGTACACCGTCACGATAGTTTGATTAAAAGCGTGCCTAAAAGATACCTTTCCACGGATATTCATAAGTTATTCAACAATTAGCTAATTTCGGAGTAACGATTAAGCAATGAGAGTTTAATCTGTTCCTAAGGAGCGAACTTATGCTCACATGGGATTTTTATTCCAATCTACAATGTTTGCTTTCAAGAGCCTATAGATTACTAAAGGTTCTTTGAGGTGGGCCGTAACATTTGGGCCAGCCCAAAACTCATGCTTGAGTTCATATGAACTCCTTTGCTATACAACTTCAAATGTTTTGTTATTGGTCTTAGTATACAAGAGAGACACGGTTTCAAATGTCCAAACTTTAAAGATCAAAATTATAAAGAAAAGAATAGTTCAACTGAAATTTACACATTTTTTAATCATGAACAAAATAAACTTGCAATCATTACATCTGGCTAAATATTCTAAATAGTCATGGCTGTAAGTAAAAGACTACACAAATACTCATGTAACACCCCAAAATCAGTATATCCAATGAAAGAAGAAAGTTATAACTAACATTACAATGTATCATTATTTATACTCAAACTCCAAATAAGTTGTATAAACAGTCTTGTATACTATGACTCTCTCAATTATCATTTCCTAATACTATAACAGTAGTTCCCAACTACAGCCTAACAAATACAGATTCTCCACAAAACAACTAATTTTCAGATGGCGTTTGACATTCTGATGATGTTCTTGGACGCTATTTTGGCCTCAATATTTACAGATTTGGCCAATTATGGTCGAATCTGCAAATCATGGCACCGGACAGTAACAACAACTCATTTTACTCCTCACATTTTAAGCAAGCATGCATATCATGACCTTCAACATGAGCAATCACATAAAACTCAAACAAGTTTTAATCAGCCTTTAGAGAGCTTCAAACAGAAGTCAGCATAGCTTAAATAAATTATCAACCAAAACAACACCTTAAACAGTCAAACCCAAGGACACATGGATAATACCCAAACCTTAATTAGGAAGGAAACATAGAAAAACTGATAATCAACTCAAACTGGATATTAAGTTTATAACACATTTCCAGTATCAACCACATCAAACATTTCAACTAAAGTTATGCACAATGGATCACAATACATGATTTTTAGGAGTAGTAATTAACATTTCAGTATAGTTCCAAGAAAAACAAAGTTGAAGATGTGCACCTTGTTGCGTAAAACACACAAAGATGCTAAATAAAGGCTAAAAACTGAAGGATAAACTCAGCAACTCAAGGAACAACAACAACAATGAAAAAAGCTCCAGAATAAAACTTCAACTTGAGATATCATAGTAATTCTATGTGTATGTTTTCTACTCTGAATGCAGGAATTGAGAAGGAAAATGCAGGAGTTTGCTATTGAGAATGCAGATAATTCAGTGTGTTTTCAGGGAATATTAGTCTCTGTCTAATGAAAGAATGTGAGTGCCTTTATATAGAGTAGGAATGCAAAGGATAGGAATCAGAGGTACCAGGGATCTGCCAGCATTCCCTTAAAATCAAGAAATGGGCATCTTTCCAAAACAGAAAAATGGACAGCTGTCTAATTTCTGGATATTTCACTCACCCTTATCTCTTTATAATCAGACTGGGACAGCTGTCCCTGTTCTAGAAACTTCCTATGTATTTCACCTCATTTCTGACCTAATTTCAATTATTTACACTTTGGTCCTTACCATTATTTTCTCGAACCTTCCAGACACTTCTAAATTTAAACTCCCTATTTCTGGCTTTCAATTAACCCCCTTAAAGTTTTTATCATTACCCCTTCAACCCTTTTAATTCATTCATCAGCAATCAAACAATCAAAAGCCATCTCAAAGATCAAATGACAAACAAAAACAAACGACTGATTTGCCTAACTAGATTACTGAACTAATTAAATTTATGCAATTAATCTAAACAAACAGCGATTAAACTAAATATCATGCGATTAACTCAAACCTATTTTAATTGAACTAACCAAACAACGGATTAAACACATAAAATTAGTAATTCGTGGAATTAAAAAAATAAAATAAATAAGAATATAGAAAAGAGAAACGAGGGTATACCTAAACTAGACTGACTTTGACAAAAAAAAGGGTCTAGTTGCCAAAAACCCTCTTGCCAAGATACCCGTCTGGAACGTGAATCCCTGACGGGAGATCTTGGCAGGAGGATCTTTGAACGTTTTAGTTAAGGACTGAGGGTTGATCAGAAAAAGGGGCAAGTTTAGGGTTTGGCTTTTTTTTTTTTTAGATCTAAGATTCACCAAATTTGATGGGGGTTTTGAAAAATCTATTGGTAGGATGACGATTAAGGGGTGTTGGAGATTATTTGGTGTCAATTTGGGATGGTTTGGGGTGTTGCCGCCGCCATAGGCGATTTCCGGTGGCGGCCAGTGGCAGAGCTTTAAGAGAGAGGTGAGAGATGGGTTATGGGGGTCGTCTCTAGGGTTTTGGGGTGTTTCAGACGGTTAAAAGGTAATAAGCAAATGAGTTCCGAGTCGTTCGATCAGAAATCACGAACGACTGAGATTGATTGGGGCCGAAACGATGTCGTTTTGGTTGAAGGGGTAACTGGACCGGTTTAGGTGTTGGGCTTGGGTGGTTTTGGACCGTGTATTTGGGGTTGGGCTGGTTTAAAACTGACCCAATCCAGCCAATGTTAATTAGACCCCTATTTTCTTTAATTAACTTTTAAAATCTAATTAATTTAACTAAATCCTAAATTAATTATTAGATTATCCTAATTTATAAAATTAAACTAACTCACTATTTGTATTATTTGCATAATTAGTCAATCTTAAATTATTAAAAGAAAAATTACTAATTTTAACATTAAAACTAAAAATATCAAAAATAAACATTTTTTGTGATTTTCTTCTAATAATATAATCAAATTATGTAATTAGATACTAGATTCAATTAAAAAACCTAATAATGCTATATGACGAGGATTTAAATATTTTTGTTGTTTTTTATGATTTAAAAATGCTAAAAATTCATAAAAAATGCAACTAAATGCAAATAATTGTGAATAATTACTAAAATTTAAAAATAAATAAGAAAAAATCTATTTATTAATTTTTGTGGGAGTGTTTTTAGTGAGGTAAAAATCACATGCTCACAGCAGCTTATGAACCTGATATGATAAATTACTAATGTTGTAGTATATGAAAAGGAGTATGTAGACAAAATATATATAACTGCCATAACTCATATTTAGTAGTTTATCGTATTATGGTATTTATGATGAACGTTATAGAAGGAATTTATTTATGCGCAACTAATGTTTATATTATTAAATATTAATATTATATAATTATTAGGCCAAGTGGAAGAACGTAAGTTATTTTTCCTACGTGTATGTGACCCAATAGGTTTAAGGCCCATAATTAATATTTAATTAATGATCAAATCTCATCCATCCGATCGATTACTTGATGAACGTACCAGATTAAGTGAAAACCTTTATAAATTGATCATCTCCCCAAACCAATTTAAATTAACGCTTCCGCTTCACGATAATGGCTTACGATTCAGGTATATTTTCTGTACGATTTTGTATATCATTAACATGTTCAAGATTTTGGTATGCAATTAAATTTATGCTCACATGGATTTCATTCCATAATTCTACATTGTATGCCCTCGGGAGAAACTTTTCGGATCGGGGCTAAACTCATAGTAAAACACTAAACTCATAGTAAAACATTCATGCTGACGATTATAAAACAAGATAATTTCTAGTATGACGATACACAAGCTCAGTAACAAGGTCAAATTTGACAAACCAACAAAAAAGGCGAAGAGAACAGTCCAGTCTAAGCACTAAAAGTTTACTTTATTCCCACAATCGACATAAGAAACTGAAGCTTGTCATTCACTTCTGCCAATTCGGATGTGTTCCTGAACGTAGATGGTGGCTCCACTCCAGTAAAGATGTATAAAGCCTTTAGTTCATCTACCAACAAAGGTTGAGGTGCGGCTCCGTATCCAACGATTGTTCTCATTGCATTTATCTTCTCCCATATTATCTCCTCACTGAAGAACTCCTAGCAATATCATTAGTTAAGAAAAATGAATCTTCATAGCTTCAAATGTATTAGCAGGCAAGAGCAAAAACAAGAATAATGAACGAAACCAAATAAGTACGCAGCGTGTTTTAAAAAAACAAAAGACCATAAGCAGTTGTCGAGCAAACACATGTAAGAAGTCAAGAACATAAGAGCACAAAGCGTACAAACATCATTGATACCAATAGCACTAGCGTTTGACAGCCCCCAACTAAGCTGAAGTTATGGTTGCATTAAATTGAATTGATGGATATATATAGTTCAAACCGAAGGCAACAGGCACACCAACACTCATTGCTATAAGGCTACTTCGCTGCTGCATCACATCCTATTGGTCTCAATGAACCAACAAAACACAAGCCGCGAGTGCAAAACTCGAATAGCGGCTCTTGAAACACCCAATTCCCATCCAGCACGTTAGTTTTGCTCTCTTGAAAAAGCTCTCCATAGGTATTAGAGAGCAAGAGATAGCAACTACAAACCTGGCACATAAGTAATGCTTCACTAGTCTTGCAATATTCTTCTTCTAATACTCCACAAGGACAAAGATTTTGGATGACTTTACCTTTTGACACATACACAGAACCCCAAAATTCCCAATTGGGAAGACTTAAAATGTTGGTTATCTTTCATGAAAAAAACAGTAAATAACATATAGAATTCGCAGAATCCTGGCTTTCAGAGAGGGAATCCGAAACAATTCTAAACAACTTTAATGAGGAAATATCAATACAAAAGGAATTTAACTCCAACATGGAGGATCAACAAATCTTGAGGTTTGCTAGATAAAGACAAATTTATATTGATTTTCCGGAATCCGAGTATCTTTGAGAGGTTCTCAACAGCCAAGACAAGACAGCTAACAGATAGCAAAAGCGTTGCATTTGTCATGCAATCCTACTCCTCCACAGGGAAGAATTCTTCTCCCTCTCTAAGGGAGATACTTCAAGCCTCTCTTCACATTACTATTAGTCATCAACTACTAATATGTTGAGGTAACCCTACCCACAAACGAAGGAAAAAAAAGACAATAAACTGGTCCCAAAAGAAGAGACTTGAAAACTCAAAATCTTCACTTTCTTGCCCTAATAAGGGACAACCTAGCATTCCACAACTAAGAAAATAATCAGATATATGGACAGCGTGTTCACACTTTGACAAGTGCTGGACATATCGAGCCGCCAAGGCCAATGCAAATGGACTCACACTAGTGTTTTGAAATGAGCATCCCGTCACAAAACTTACTATGGAATAACATAATGGGGACACAAGAAATTAAAGAAAAAGCACTAACAGCAATGGAAGGAGAGAGCAAACGCAAGAAATGAAGTCATTATTATACCTCTCTGCTAATAAATAAACTAGAGTCCGCATTTAAGCTTTACAAGGAATAAGACCAGGTGAACGTGAAACAAACTACTACCAGTACTATAACCTGAAAGAGCTGAAAAAGAGGAACAAGCCCCTTTTAAACCTTTCCTTTCTTTAAAATGAATTCCCTTATTAGCAGAATATTCACAAGGAGCTGAGCGACATTTACTTGAATCTCATAACTGACATCCTAGACAAATGCCTGCATTAGCGGCCATTGGTTGATGCTCTGGACTTGCACCATGATATATGTTACAGATGGTTTCATCTGTTAGTCCATACACACTGCTGGACATTATTAACTTTCTTTTGAAGGATTATGAACCTTTGACACTCTTTAGCCATCAGTATATTTTATGTTTTGCCACACAAAGCATCTGGAGCAAGGCCATATAATTAGTAACTCATACTTTTTTTGAACATCGGGAAATAATTACAGTAATAGTTTATGTAATGTGGAGTATTTTTCTTTCCTTTGCAGGTGCAATCTAGGTTTCTTCATGAGGAGTGGCATTTGTTGCTAAGATAAGGAATATCTCTTTCATGAGTAAATTAAAACAGGAAAAAACCTGAATAATATCCAATATCTATTCAAAGAAATTTTAACAGCAAGTATAAGAAACAAAGCCAGCCAGTATAACCTACATGTGCTTTCAATCAAATCGATCATTTTTCCACAGTAACTTTGAACAAGAGAAACAATGATATATAAGAAGATAAGCCTCTTGGTATTTGCATAAATATTTCCAATGGAACAAACTAAGGTGGCAGATTTAAAAATAGAACTGACCTTGGTGTGTTTGGCGTCAAGAATCCCTGCTCTTCCAGGAACATGAGCAACACCACTCGCATTCCCATTTTTCTTTTGATCAGTGGTCCCTTTTCTTTCAGATGGAAGGTTCCCATGGACACCGTCTGCCTTCCTTTGAGCGTCTTCTGCAGCCACCGGCTTATCCTTGCTTTCCACTGAACGAGAAGCATCTTTAGCAACATGCTTGCCATTGGATACTGCTTTATGATCCTTAGTTGAATTCGCAGCTTGCCCAACATCCTTGCCAGTTCTCTCATCTCTTCTTCCAGGAGATGCTTTTTCCGTCTCAGCAGCTTTCTTGGCCTTTTTGGAAACACCACTTTGATTGACCTCGTCTCTTCCTTCTTTCGTCTCCCGTTTCACTGGTAAATGCTTCTCGTCTTGCTTCACCTTGACTTCATCCCTCACCTCTCCTTTTATTTCTATCATTTTCGCATCACTATCTTCCTGCTGCTTGTTGCTTAACCCCTCCCCTTTCTCTAATATTGCAGCATTTTCCCCTTCATTTCCTTTCTTCTTTTTGTGGTGTTTCTTTGAGCTTTTGCTGATGTTTGGTTTCTTTGTTACTTCTATACTCTCCTTTTCTTCTGAAATAACCACAGGCCCTGTTTCACTTTTTGTTCCTTGAATCTCTCTCACAAGACTATCTACTTTCTCATCTTTGCGTTCCATTGGCTTCTCTACTACTTCTGAATTCTCTAAGCTGCGGTTATCTTCCTTCGCTGCATCACCTACATATACCTCAACCAAATTCCTCTCTGGCAAACCTGGTGTTAAAGTAACATCTTTTTCACCCTCATTTTCTCCCCTGGCTTCTCTGGCCACCAAATCCAAACCCTCAGTTCTCTTAATTTTCTCATCAAATTCCCAGTTTTCTTCTTCTTTCCCTCGTTCCGTTTCCAAATTTATCTCCTTCATTGCTCCCTCATTCACTCCTTCCAAGTATTCACCCACATCTTCTTCATATCCTTCCTCTTTGCCACCCTCGTCTACATTGATCTCTCTTTCTTCCTCAGCTCTTCCAAAGTCTTTATCTTCATATCCCCGGCTCTCGTCCATCACCAATCGAATCCTCATTTCAACTCCTTCTTTTGCATCCTCCATTTCTTTCTTTTCCTCATCTTCCATCACCATTTCTCCACCAAAACCAGCACCTTTTCCTCCTAAATGTTCATCATATTCCTCTTCATCGCCATACATTTCCCCATATTCCAATAATAGAGGTGGCTCTGACCTTGGAAGCAACTTGTTCATAAGCTTCTCAGTACAAGTATAACCAACAAAAGCAAGACCAAAAGGGACCGAAAAAGCAAACCCAAGTGCAGAAATAACAATAAGTGGAGGAAGAACCACTGGTGCAGAAGAGACAACAATACCTGTGATCATAACCTTCTTCCCTAACCACAATCCTTTGTTCACAATCCATCTCATCTTACTCTCTTTCAGTTCCCCCTCATAATCATAATCATTGTCCTCCTCCTCTTCTTCTTCTTCTTCTTCTTCTTGTTCTTCTTCTTCTTCTTCTTCTTCTTCTTCCTCTAAAGAAGTATGCTCCACTATTCTCCACTCCACAATTTGATCTTCCATCCTACAAGCAAACATAATCACATCTCAGACCAACTGAAATATTGAATAATTGGAAGTTATTCAATCTAATAATTCTGAAAATAAACCAATCAGTACTTTCAAAAAGAAGAACAAAGATAACACAAAACTAATCCCAGCGGAGTCAAAAACACAAAAGGTGATTTTTTCTCATTGGTCTAGGCTTTAGTGGACAAAGTTACTCGATGCAGTTATCGAACTAGTCGATGTACGCACAAGCTAGTCCAAACACCAAAGTTACAAAACTAAAAAATTATGAGTTTATAATAGCTCATTGGAGGAGCTTGCATGCCCATATAAAAGAAGTAAGCTTTTTGCAAGTAGCAAAATTCTATATGGGTTGTAAACATAAATCCGAGGAAAATCAAGCGAAATGAGCAAGAAAATCTTTATGGGTACTCCTGTAAAAAAAGATCTATCCCGTAAACGATTTAAGTGAAGCTATAGAAAATTAATTCCTAGTTGGTTTTGGCAAGAATATGAAATACCCAATTGGATTTCCAATTATAAATCCAAGAAAACAAGCAAAATAAGCAAGAAAACACACTTACAACATGTGCACTCCACTAAAGAAACAAACTACTACTATAACTCACCTGAAAAATGCTAGAAGTGAAGCTTATACAGCAGTACTATGTCATGACACAAGAACCCGTTTGAACGAAAGAGAGAATTTTGATAGCGTGTGTAGGGGGAGGGGGTTGTTTGGTTGTTTTAAGGATAGTAGGGAGATAAGCATGACCGAATAGTGGTATAGCACGTAGAGATTAAAAGGAAGATGGGCGTGACAGTTGCAGGGTAAAGGAGACGCCAGACGTCGCAGTGGAATAGCTCAGAAACTGCATGCAAAACATTATGAGGCAATTGCAGAGGTTTCCACGTAACACATAAGGGACCTGCAGTGAGACACAGGATTTGCCACTACGTACGCGGCCAAGGTAGTGTGTCAGCTTTTTTCTCAAGTTCAACTCCCTCCGTTTCAATTTACGTGAACCTATTTTTATTTTACTCCGTATCAAAAAGAATAACCTCTTTTCTTATTTGAAAACAATTTACCTTTATATAATAATTTATAACCACACAAAATATATGTGACTCATTTTATACCACAAGTTCAAAAATATTCTCTCTTTTCTTAAACTCCATACCCAATCAAATATATTCACATAAATTAAAACGGAGGGTATATTTTAGAAACATTGGACGTTTGTGAAATTATTCAAAATATCCATGTAATCTTATTTTTAGTTATAGATACACTGTATTTTAAAATTACGTACTTAAACCTCTTATACTATACTTCTTTGTACTGTCATGACCCCAATTTCCCTTCGTAGGATATCATAATGACACTTAGTTTTTAAAACTAGGTAAGCCTAATATTCATGCAGTAAAAACTGAAATAATGATTAAACTCTCAATAACTCAACAACTAATATAAATAAACTCTGTAACTCAGTATATACAACTTCCTAAAAACCCGGCGAATACAAGTCACAAACTCTATGAAGTGATACTGAATATCCCCGTACATCAGTATCTATAAGGATAAGGAAGATAAATAATCTAGGTAGAGGTGGACTACGGACGCCGGCATATATATCTTGAAGTCTCCAAACTAAGTTCGCCTCACTAGTGCCTGGACTAGTAGGAGGTACCTGGATCTGCACAAAAAGATTTATAGAAGCGTAGCATGAGTACATCACAACCTCGGTAGAGTAGTGACGAGGTCAGGTCAATGCCCTATTGAAATAAATAAGGAAAAGAACGAGTAATTAACAGTGTAATAATAAAAACTATGAAAATGAAACAAGTAAGAAATATACCAAGATTAACTATACTGACTAAGACAAATATTAATGCATCACGGAAGAAAACAAGGGATGTTATGCCAAGGAAATGAAACAACCAACACAAGTGAAGTAATAGAGAAGTATCAACAAGAGTCACTATCGAGGTACCGCCTCGTAGTCTCAAATCACAAAATAATTCACAATCTTTCCTTATATCACTGTGGGAGCCCTGCATTTAGTTTTGAAAATTATTTTGTCCGAAATAGCATCCCGCGTTTTAGCCCACCTTATCACACCATGTGGCTTCAAGTAGTTCCCCTACTAGCAACACGCGTATCAAGCCCACCTTATCTTACCGCATGTGTTTCAAGCTCAAAACCTTATACCACCGCATACGTATCAATATCACAACGTATCATAAATCGCACCTCAAGTGCCCAATATCACAACTTATCAAGAAAACCAACAACAACAATATTTTCACAACAAGCTCTAAATATTTTGGTGATAAATACCAATTAGAAGGTCTGAGACGACCCAGAAAGTACTTGATCATATCATGATCTGATTTGTAAGCCTACTTGGGTCTTGAGTATTTACTTGTAAGAACGAAATTCTTTTATTTTGTAATGGATAGTTGCAACTCTGCAAAAAAGAATTCAGTCAAATGTTTTTTAAATTGAACCATTCCTATATCATATATGTGTATGTAGCTCACGGCTCAACCACAATATGCACAAGAGTTTCAATAGTAACAATCGAAAGTGAGTAGCTCAACAAGAATAGTATTTCACAACTTTACAACTTTGCCTCACACTACTAAAAATCCGCATAAAACTGTCCGAAAAAATCGACCAAAATCGGTCGGTAATGGCCAATAACCGTCCAAAATGCGATCATTTACGTGTGGTCGATATTTTGAATGTCGATAGAGCATACCGACCAAAGTCGGTCGGAAATTACCGACCAACTTCGGTCGGTATGCTCTACACGACCATCTGACAATTTAATTGAATTACCGACCAATATTGATCGGAATGTTATTTTAATAATTTAATTTTACCGACCAACGTTGGTCGATGTTCTAAATTTAATAATTTTATTTACCGACCAACTTTTGTCAGTAGTGAAAGATAAATTAATTTATAATATTTTATATACCGACCAACGTTGGTCGGTACTAGAAAATTTATATTTTTTATAAATAATTAAATTTAATAATACCGTTCGATGTTGATTGGTAATCTGGACATGTGAGTCAACTTACCGACCAAAGTTGGTCGATAATGTTGAATTTCTAGGATTTCAATGTGCATTAACCAATCAACATTGGTCGGTATTTTGCAATTAATTTTTTTTTTATTAGTTACCGACCAAGGTCGATCGATTTTCTAGGATTAAGTTTTAGCAGAAAATGCCTGTTTTGGTAGCTACATCACCTTCCAAATAAAAATAACATACCAATACCCCCAATTCACCACAAACAAGCCCCAATTCACCACAAACAGCCCCTAATTCACCACAAATCCAACCAAACATCCAAATAATACTTTAAAACTAACAAAGTTCAATTAAACATCACAATTCAAAACCAAGAAAAAACTAAGTAATTACAACAAGTTCAAAATTTTTCAATCTAATTCAAAACTAGTTCTATTAGTCTAGTTCAAAGTATATCAAAGTATTGGTCAAAAGGTGTTTTCTACAACATTATCACCATCTGATGAACTTTCATCTACAAAACGGTATAGAAACGGGAAGAACGATCATGGGGAGGACGGGAGTAACGATCACGGGGAGGACGGGAGGAACGATCACGTGGAGGTCGAGCCTCTGGCGAGGACTCATGAGACTGAGGCAGCAGAAAAGCTCCAGTAGAAAGGAGAGCTCTGATATGAGCTTGCATACCAAGGAATTGAGCATCTCTAAGCCTTTCTCTTTCCTTGGCCGCTTCTAGCTCGGAGGTAAGCCTTATCACTGTCTCCTGCATAGCCGAGAGGCTCTCCCTATTAAGTGCCTCGCCTTGTGAGGAAGTCCATATTCCTTGCATTCCACACCTATAGTGATGGAGTTTTTTCTCAGGAAGCCCGTATACCTTCCCCTTTTTTGGACGTCCAAAAACCTCTAACTATATTCTTTCAGCATCCTCGTTCGAAGGTTGGGTTGGCTCGCCTGATTCACTAGCTGGCTGACTACAAATGAAGTCCCCCACGTTACTTTTGTAGCGACCCTACGTTATTTTAAATTAAATTATTATATAAAAAATCTTATAAAAGTAAATTATAACACTTAAGGAAAATTGAAAGCTTATATATGTAGTCTCTGCCTGGTCCTCGACCCACCTATCTGCATCCCCCTCTTTCTTCTTCTTTAAAATATACGTCTCCTTGAATAGCTCATCATGGTGCATTGGACGCCCATACTTCTTTTCCTGAAAATAAATTAATTTTGTTAGAATTGATATACTTAGAAAAGTAAAGACGTAATAATATAAGCAATTCCCAATCTTCTTCTTGTTGTCCCGATGCTGATAGCACCCTTAGTGTGCAAGGAGCTTCCCTTATCGGATGAGCGAGCTTTCTTTCTTAGTTCGCTCTTCGGTAAGAACTGCTCGGTCTGCCATTGCCTTAACAAATCTGCTCAGAGCTATGGTCTCAAAGGCGAAGTCCTAAAATGGATGGAGTCGATGATGAAGATGACTGTTATCCCTGTAACTGCGAGATAGCTGGATGCAATCCATGTGGCTATGATACAGATGGCTATGACAAATATGGTTGTGATATGGATGGCTGCAATCCATGTGGCTGTGATATGTAGGGATGTGATCCACGTGGCTGTGATACAGAAGGTTGTGATCCACGTGGCTGTGATGCAGATGGCTGCGATCCACGTGGATGTGAGGCTGTTGGACTGTATGTCGGACGTATAGTCCTATGGCCGTGTAATGGAAGACCCGGTGTCGAGATGAAGGTATAGGCCTTGTGATGCTGTGGCAGCTCAGTATAGCCGTGTGGTGGAGGATAAGACATAGACATCTCTAAACATGGTGGAAATGAGGGAGTAGTATTATCCCCAGATTCTACCATCCTCTTTCCCTTCCTAGCCTTTTCTCGACCCCGAGAACTAGTAGGGTCATTGTTACCTTGATCCTTGCTTGCCATCTGCATAATATAATGCATATTTAGATTGAAACATATAAGAAAATAGTTATAACATGAGAGTGTTTTAAAACACCTGTTGATACCCAATTTTGCCCTCATATTTTTTCAAATAACATAAATCTTTCAAAAAAACATTTTGCATCATTATTGAGTTTATAAATCTATACAAGCATTTTTCTACAATATTTTATAATATTTAGAGCTTTAAAATTGATTTTCCTGCATTTTTACTTGAATAATTTATTAGTTACTCCTTTCAATTATTTTGTGACGACTTAATTACCTAAATTATCATTTGCATCCATAATACATGTTTCATATATTTTTACTTTATTTTATATAATTACATTAGTATTTTTTAATGCTATTTGCACAATTTTGCAGTAATAGCATGTACTCATATATAATTGCTTTTTATTTATACCAAAATAGCATTTTATATTTTGATAATGCCAAATTATTATTGTTAATAATTTTAGTGCATAAATAATATTTTTATTTTATTTATTAAGCATATTTAGAAATTAATTTTGATAAATTTTGTGTTTTTAAATAGTAGCCCAGCTTTAAACCAATTTTCGGACAAATTTTGGCCCAAATCCTTAGCCCAATCCAAGTATCCCTTTAAAATCCGGGCACGACCCATTTGAAATAACCCACACTAGTCCCTTTAAAATCCTGGTCGTTGATCTTAAGAGATCAACGACCCACGATTAACCCCCTCTTTTAATTATCCACCCCAACCCTAATCCTCACATTCACTCTGATCAGCCGC